CAAACTCCATTAATTAGAATTTGTAGAGGTGTCAGACAAGGGTATACAATCTTACCCACACTATTTACTCTGGCATTGGAAGACATTATTAAATCTATGGACTGGGACAATAAAGGGATTTGTATAAACGGGAAATATTTAAATCATCTAAGATTCGCCGATGATGTACTCCTGATAACAACAACAACTATGGAACAACTACGAATAATGATTTCAGACCTAGAAAAAACATCTCTTGAGAAAGGACTAAAAATGACTCTAAAGAAAACTAAAATAATGATTAATACAGAAGAAAGATCAGTAATTACCATAGGTGGAACAGTCATAGAACACGTCCAAAAATATATTTACTTAGGACAAGCTATCAGAGCAGACAAAAGTAACCAGTCTAAAGAAATAACCAGAAGAATAAGAATGGAGTGGGCTGCATTCGGAAAACTCTCATATACTATCAAAAACCAAAAAATACCTTTAAAATTAAGAACGAAGGTATTTAATGCATGCGTCCTACCTGTTCTGACATATGATGCCCAGACGTGGACGTGTACCAAAAGCAACTTAGATAGATTAAAGAAACTTCAAAGAGCTATGGAAAGACAAATGTTGGGAATATCGTTGAGAGATAAAAAGAGGAACGAGTGGATAAGATGCAAAACCGAAACAACAGACGCTGTCGAACATGCATTGAAATTAAAATGGAAATGGGCTGGGAATAATGGAAGATGGAATAAAGAAATTGGCCGCTGGAGACCATATACTGCAAAAAGGTTAAGAGGTCGACCGCAAATGAGATTGAAAGATGACATTGAGCAAAGCGCAGATCCAATGTGGAAAAGACAAACATAAGATAGAGACAAATGGAGACAAATGGGAGAGGCCTATATTTAACACATGAATAGATTTTGGGCTATAGATGATAGATAGAACTAAGGGCATGACATAGGGCAGCAGCTATGTTATTATTGCATTGGGGTTGTATGATCAATATAGGCCTAATGTAAATTACTCACAGGCAACTACTTGAACTCTTAGTTCAACCGGATGTGGGACTGCGATCAGGCAGACAACGGGAAACAACCCGATCTTCTAAGAGAGCGTTATAAAATGACGACTAAGCAAGAAAATTCTGTGGCGCCATATCGATTCCGGGTCGAATAATGTGAATTGGGCGACTGGGCAGATGATTGTGGACGACCAGGCAATATCTACGAAATGTGATTCTCGAAGATCAAACATTACATAAAAATCACCGCATCGCAACATGGAATCTTAGGGGCTGCTACAGCCAGGTAAATTGTATACATCCGCGCAGATTATCAACATGGTCTTCGCCTGAAGTACGATACAGGAATCAGATAGATTATATTCTTGTCACTAAACGATGGAGGACCTCAATAATTAACGTGAACACAAAACCAGCTGCAGATTATGGTTCCGACCACAAAATGTTACAAACAGAATTTCGCATTAAAAATTCGCAAAACAATCACAAATAAAAGACAAACAATTATTCCGAAACACCCGAAAAAGTTAGAGAAGCATTAGCAGAAGTTTACCTACCAGTGACTACGGGAGACCCTGACAAAACGTGGGAATACACAAAGAAATGGACCACTGAAGCCATTAACAGTACTAATCCCAAAGACAAAAAAGCTAGAAAAAAACATTAGAACACTGAAGAGACTCTCAATCTTGTAAAAAAAGACTTAGAAACGGCACATCAAATTTAAATCGCAGACACAAATCATCATAGATAATAGTGGAAATACTATAAGAAACCCAGCGGCATCGCAGAGGTGTAGAAGGAGAGGAGGGAATAAGAGCTAAAACACTCAAAGAAATGGGAGAATTAGGGACGAAAGTAATTCTTAGAATTTGCAATACCGGAGATCTGGAATACCGAAAAGTGGCCAAATGTCTTGGGTAAACTCACGTTTATTCCCATATAAAAAAGGTTCACCGACAGATTGCAGTAATTACCATACAATAGCATTGATATCACGCGCCAGCTAACCATCATCAAAGAGACTAAAATCAATTCTTTTACCACAAATTCCCCAAGAACAATGCAGATTCGTCCAAGGTAGAGGAACAAGAGAACATATTCTTAATATTCATCAAAACATCGAAAAATTTCGAAAGTTTAACAAAGAAACATATTTATGCTTTGTTCACTATTCCAAGACTTTTAATGTGGTAAAATGGGATTAAATGTAACATATACTTGGAAAAATGAGTACGCCAGAACATCTAATCGACAGGGATGCATAGTATCCCCTATTCTATTTAATACATATATATATATATATATACATATATATATATATATATATATATATATATATATATATATATATATATATATATATATATATATATATATATATATATATATATAATTCTTTGGTAGGTAACTTTTGGGAAAGCGTCAAATCAAGGATCGGTTAGAGATGGTATTAAGCTAGTATAAGCCAGTTTGGTGTAGAACTTTATTCTAAATGTGAAATTTTTGGTAATAGGCTGTCACCTTCATCAGCACCTAAATGGGAAACCTATTTAGTACAAGTGGTGGAAATCAACATTTAAAAACCTACATTGAAAATATTGAGTTAGTCCTCGTGGTGAAGAACACTGTCACAAACAAGTTAAAAATATTAAAAAATACATTTAAAAATTTAAATAAAAACATTACAACATAAAAGAGTATTTTTTCAAGTACAACACAACAAAAAAATCTAAAATCTAAAAACCCACAAAAACCGCAACTTCATGTTAAAGGTAGAAAACAAGAATTATTCTTCTTTTTTGATGACAATGTTTCTAATTTCTGTCAATATCCCGATGTCATATGTAACAAGGTTATATTTACATCTGCACCTCATGGAAGTTAGAAGGAATCTTTTTAAGAACCAAAATCAGCAGGGAAATAAAGTCTTTTCTCAAGTGCAGGTGGGTCATCTGGTTATGTTATGATAAGTTCCCTACATTCTCCAATCTGTTACATCTTGTCAAGTCCTGCTGAAGCAAAAAAGAATAAATACAACTTAAATTTTCAACATCTTTCTTACAATTCATAGAGAAGCTACAGTTATGGATGTAGCACATTTCTATGAAATTTCTCTTAAATTGGATGTCAACCCTTTTTAGTACTTGCACATTTTCATAGTTAGCAATGTGTCCAGTATTCTTAATATGTTGGCTAAAAGCTGTACTAGTAAGCTTCCTCACAACATCACTCTTATCAAAGCTATTCTTTTTGAGAGTTTCTGGGTGGTTTGACCGACATACACTTCCGAACAAGAACCACATGGAATAGAATACACTACATTGAAGTTATCCAGTTTTTTAACTCTTTCTGTCAGGTGAGTAAAGCCAATATTTTGTACACTGAATTTACTATCACTAAGTTAAACTGTGTGAAAAGGTTTTTGATCTGTGGTGATAAACCCCTGATGTAAGGCAATCTCCCATAGAAAAGTTCTACTGTTTGTCCTTCTAATGTTTGTCTTTGGTGTGTTCTTGCTGTTGGCATATCTTAAAAAAACAGTTTATTAAGAAGCATCTTAGGATAGTGATTTTTTCTAAGAATTTCATAAAGTAACTTGATGTTCTTATTGTAGTTAGAAGGGTGACAAATTCTTTTTATTCTGTTTTTCAGACCTTTGATGATGTTAATCTTGTTACATATGACATCGGGATTATAGTTTATTCGTCTTCCGGGTTTGGACCGTGTCATTTGTGAGTGACCCAAAAGTGGGTTCATCTCGACGTTTCACTACAATTGTATGCTGTATATTGACAAAATCAAAAGACAGGAAGATGGGTAGTTAGCAACGGTAACTCAGTTACTCAACGCAACCAGAGACGAATACTAACTACCAAGATGGGCATTTGGTCACAGTAACTCAACTACTTAACCCAGCCAGAGGTGAAAACCAAATGCCAGGACAGGGATTCACGTCCAACAGCTCAGAACACTAACGCGTCGAGAGGCGGGGAGTGAATCCTGGATTCACAATCCCCCGGTGATTTCTGAAATAAGCGAGTTATTTGTATTGAAATTTCGTTTGTTTGTTTATATTACTGCCCTGTATAATTGTACAAAATATTTTCAAATGTTCAAATTTTAATAATTTATAATGGGTAATTTATAATAAGAAACACTGAGCACTTTTTACAAAATTTTCTACAGGGACAAAAGTGTACAGCTGAGAAAAGTTATTAAATATAAATATTGGTGGGTACAATTTTTTAAAACACAATTACTGCTATGAATTATCACAATCAGATATTTAAACAATATATAAATCAATTTCTAATCGCTATTGGTATATCGTAATTCTGAAAAAAAGAACAGTTTATGTTACGCGATTAAATTAGGCTTGTTTATCGTGTATACAACTGGTATCAAATGCCATCGCGGTAAAGTCATAAAACCAAAGCGAAAGCGAAAGTGGAATTAAAAAATTTGATAGAAATTTAAATAAAAGCGCAATCGCGATTAGGAAGCGAAAAGAAATATAGTCGATCATTAGAAGGACGTTTAAAGGAAATTAAAACACGAGAAAAATTTGAATACCAAATGAAAAGGCCACGACTCTGAAATCCCAGTAGGCAGGTGCATAAAGTACATTCGAGAAACAATGGCTGTACATAAATCGATCCAAATGAAACGGCCTCTTAATTAGAGTGTGCCATGGCCGCCTAAATGAGTCGCAAACGGTGGCTTATGGCTCCACTTCAATAATTGCCCCGAAACAAGAGTAAATTTTATAAATTTATGCCCAAAACCATTATTGCTTAATCTTAAATTAAGGGAATTTGTGTTGGACTGTAATTAGTTCTGAATTTCTTGGACCAGTGGTGTACGTAACTATAAGACACATTTGAAAATTTAGTCAACAACAAATAGTATAACAAAAATAGTTTATTAATAAACTTTTTTTATATAAAAAATATGCTTACGAATATATAGTACATTTGGTTGGTTGGTTGGTTGGTTGGAAACAACCAAAGAAATGGACAAATCCAACTAACATTCAGGAGTTCGAAAAATATATTGGGAATTCATTGAAAGATACAACAACAGCTGACATCAATATATTGAACAAACAAATAGTCAACACAATGCAACAGGCTCAAACTAAATATTGTCCGACAAGCAAAAAATATGAAAAACTGAGTCAACACACGAAAACTCTTATAGAACTAAGGCGACAAATGAAAGGAGATAACACTGTATGCAAAGAAGCGATAAATCAAATAAATAAGACGATCACAAAGGCAATAAGGGGAAAATAGAAATTAACAAACTGAGAAACAGAACTGGAGAAGAAACAACGAACAGAGATGAAATATTAAGAATAGTCGAAGAGTTCTACACAGAGTTATATAGATCAAGAAAAAAGATAACAATACGGAACCTCCAATTACACTACAAACTGGGGTATTAAACCAAGGATCAGATTTAATGCCCAATATAACACAATCAGAAATCAAAGAAGCCCTGAAGAAAATGAAAAATAATCGAACCCCGGGTGAAGATGGAATAGTATCAGAAGCACTAAAAATTGAAGGGGATGTATTACTTAAAAAAATTAAACAACTTCTCAATATCTGCCTTCACAGCGCCAATATTCCAACAGACTGAAACAACGCTATTATGATTCTATTACACAAAGCAGGAGACAAAGCAAATTTAGAGAATTACAGACCGATTAGCCTCCTCAGCCATATATATAAGTTGTTTACGCGAATACTAGTTAAGAGAATGGAAAGAAAATTAGAAACTTATCAACCAAGGGAACAGGCAGGATTCTGAAAAAGTTACGGAACAAATGACCATCTACAAAGTATAAAAACCCTAATAGAGAAAGCAGTGGAATACAATAAACCTCTAGTTCTAATATTTATCGATTTTCACAAAGCCTTTAACACAGTTGAGCTAAGCAAAATATTACAGGCGCTTAAAGAATGCAGGCTAGATTATAAATATACTAAATTATTATACAAAATATACCTGCAGGCAACAACCACTGTCAAATTACACACTAACAGTAATCGCATAAAAATAGAACGGGGGGTTAGACAAGGAGACCCAATGTCACCTAAACTTTTTTAATACGGTGCTAGAACATGCTTTTAAGAATTTAGATTGGATGACAAAGGGAATAAAAATAGATGGAGAATATCTAAACAACTTACGTTTCGCCGATGATATACTTATAATAGCTGAAGATCTAGGTATGGCAAGAGAGATGGTACAGGAACTCGTTGTGGGTACAGAAATTGTAGGTTTAAATATAAATATCTCGAAAACAAAAATTATGACCAATTTAGTACCCAACCAAAACATCAGTATTGGTGGGAAAGAAATAGAACTCGTAGATATATATATATATATAGATATATTAATATATATAATATAACCTGGGACATGAAATTATGATTGGCAGAGATAACCAAACTCATGAATTGAAGAGAAGAGTCGGCCTTGGGTGGGCAGCATTTGGAAAACTGAGAGAAACTTTTAAAAGCGAGCTGCCCACATGCCTAAAGAGAAAGGTATTTGATCAGTGCGTCCTTCCAGTCTTGACGTACGGAGCAGAAACACTTACCTTAACAAAAGCAGCAGCTACCAAACTGAGAGTCACGCAGAGAAGAATGGAGCGGTCCATGTTAGGAATAACTCTGCGAGACAGAATAACCAACGAAGACATCAGGAGAAGAACCGGAGTGACTGACATTATCGAGAAGATAGCCAGACTAAAATGGAGATGGGCAGGACACATAGCCAGAATGACAGATGGGCGATGGACAAAAAGGTTATTGGAATGGAGGCCAAGGGAAAACAAGAGAAACGTCGGTCGACCACCTACAAGATGGACTGACGATTTAAGAAGAATCAATAAAAATTGGATAAGAGCGGCCCAAGATAGACGGGGTTGGAAACATGAGGAAGGGGCCTATGTTCAGCAGTGGACTCTTGAGGCTGGATGATGATATGGTACATTTTACAATGTATGTACTTTACACAGAAAAATGTTGTTTTTATTTTAAAACAAATGAAATCACTGAGTTTTTAAACATCATATAAGAAAATTGACAGAAAATGGCTTTCTTAATTAGCAAACATAATCTCCTCATGTTGAAAACCCAAAGCACACTACAGGAACTACGATATATGAGGAGGTAAAATGCAAACAAGCTTAAGTCACAAATAAGTAATTTTTGCCCAAAGAGGGCAGAAAAAGTTCTAATCAATGTTATACAATAATATTGGTTTCAAACATGCAATTAAAACACTCATTTTAGTTAGTGTAGCTAAACAATAAGACAATAAGGCAGTAACACGTTTTGCCTAATTCAGTGGAAATAAATTATTTTGCATGTAGAAGGTTGTACACGTGAGCGGATTTAAATGTAAATAAAGTAATAAAGCAAAAAAATAAAGGAAAAATAGTTTTTTAAATAAACTTTTATTTTTATAAAATAATAATATAGGCCTTACCTAAGTGACAAACATTGTCATAATAGGTAGTAAATGCACAAAACAAAAATGTTTTATAAATATGCAAGTCATGCATTTCTTCCTGTTCTTCACCAGCAGCTGCTGTAGTGGATTGATCAAAAATGAAACTCTTGTATTAATCAAGGCGTGAATCAGAAACAGATTAGTCCTTTTCAAATATTTTTTTCAAAAGTTTGTCAACATCTTTGGCTCTTTCTTTGGTTAATACATAATGAAGTGGTAGTTCTTTATATATATATATATATATATATATATATATATATATATATATATATATATATATATATTCTTTTTTCTTACTCATATATATATATATATATTATATATATATATATATATATATATATATATATATATATATATATGTAAAGTAAACTTTAAATATTGGGTATGCAGCAATAAAAATGAAAAGTGTACTCTTTTAAATTTTTATTCCAAGCTTTCGGAAATTGGTTATGTCCTTCATCAGGGAGCTACAAAATAAATGTGATGAATAATTTTTACAAAGTATAATTAATTAAAAATTCGATACTTACAAACTTAATGAGGTTGTATCATAAATGATTTTATAAAAAATGTTGATAAAACTTATCACCTGTCATATATGTTGAGCTAAAACCTATTTCTATATTTAAAATTTTAAAAAATTACTTTACATTTACAGAAACTTAATTATTATTCACAAATCTATGACATTGATATTGACATTGACGAGTGAAAATCCCACATCCCTAATATCAAGCAACTGCTAGTACAACAAATTATAGGCCTATTATTAGGTATAATCGTGGAAATATAAATTATTTTATATTTGTTAATATCATTAGGAAATGAAACTTCAACCTCTAAACTTCAAAGTTTACTTCCTTACGTGGTCAGCAAATACTTCTAGTTCATTATATATATATATATATATATATATATATATATATATATATATATATATATATATATATATATATATATATATATATATGTATATATATACAGGGTGATTGATTAGTGTGAGGAAGCTGAGTAGATCTGTTATAGTAAAAATTACAAAAAAAAGTTATTAACAAAAATTGTAGGCAGCTTTAAACTCCATATTTTAAAATTAGTTACAATCCTACAGGGTGTTCCATAAGATGGTGGCAGACCAAACTTATGTTTTTTTTAAATGAAACATCCTGTATTTTATTTTAAATTTGAAATCTGCTTCACTTCCACATCACAACAATGTAATGTTTTATTATATTATACGGGGTAGTTAAAAAGTTATAACCAACATTACCTGAAAATCGTATCAAGTTTAACTCCCTGCATAATTAAAAAGGATTGTAGGAACATTGATCTATTGCAACCATAGTTTTTTAATAATTGTTAAAAACTATAAAACATATTCATTTTCATAATATTTGTTAAATCAAATACAGGGTAAGTCAAAATGCAAGTACATTATTTTCTTGGTAATTTTAAATAGAACACCCTGTATTTTATATCACTATCGAAAAGAACTAATATCGTACTTCATATTTTATGAAGTACTCCCTATACCTAAAGTTATTGGTTTTAAAGATATTTTTATTTTTCCATTAAAGTATTAATTTGGTAGATATTTTAACGTTTACCAATAATTATTGTGAGTTGGCCATGATTGATTTGTCAGAAACTGACAGTTTGACATTAATATTTATTAATTCAGTATTGGGGTACACCGTAAATTAGCAACAATTATTATTTAGTAATTCAGTAATTGATTCAATTTAAATTAGCAATAATGAATTTTACTACTGATGAAATGGTAGATATGATCTGGATATTGGGGGAATGCAATAAAAATTCATTACTATCAGCTAGAATTTATCAAGAACAGTTTCCAGATAGGCGACAACCTAGACAAGATACATTTGAAAAATTGATAGATCGATTTAACCGCACTGGTTCAGTGAATTATGAAAAACATGAACGAACAAAAACTAGTGTGACAGAGGAAAACGAAATAAGTGTATTGATGGCGGTTACAGAAAACCCACACACCAGCATAAGGACTATTTCCAATGAACAAGAACTTAGTTACTACTCTGTTCAAAACATTCTATCTAAAAACAAGATGCACCCTTATCATATTCAAAAGCACCAAAAATTAATTAATGATGATTTTCAGAAACGAATATTATTTTGTGAATGGGCCTTAGAAAAAATTAATGAGCAGAGAGATTTTTTTGATTATGTCCTATTTGGTGATGAAGCTACATTCCATCGAAACGGTTCTTTTAATAGGCATAACTTTCACTACTACTCAGCAAGTAATCCATACCACATAGTAACACATAGTCAAACAAGATGGTCTCTAAATGTATGGGGAGGTATCGTCGGTAACCATGTAGTAGGACCATATTTTTTTGAAGATAATTTAAATGGTGAGATTTATTTAGATTTTATCGTAAATCAGTTACCGATATTATTAGAAATTAGAAGAGGTTCCACTTAATATACGTGAAAAAATGTGGTTTCTACATGACGTTGCTCCTGCGCACCACAACGAATTAGTACGTGGTGAACTTAATAATCAGTTTGGGGAAAGATGGATCGGAAGGGATGGACCGGTAAGGTGGCCCCTAAGGTCACCAGAATTCAATAAAATGGACTCATTTTTTTGGGGTTACGTTAAGAACGAACTATATAAAATACCTCCAACAACAAGGGATGATATAAAAAATAGAATCCGAATTGCATTTCAAAATATTTCTTTACAAATGCTTAGTAATGTAACCAACTCTTTCAATGACCCTTTTCAAACATGCATAGATGTTTTGGGAGGTCATTTTGAACACCTTACTTAAGTAAGATAAGTTAAACTTACTGTTGTTTTTAATTTTTCTATGTGTTTTTGACAAATCAATCATAACCAACTCACAATAATTATATTGTGAGTTGGTAAACGTTAAAATATCTACCAAATTAATACTTTGATGGAAAAACAATAATATCTAGAAAACTGATAACTTTAGGTATAGGGAGTACTTTATAAATTTGAAGTACGATATTATAACTTTTTGATAGTGATATAAAATACAGGGTGTTCTATTTAAAATTACCAAGAAAATAATGTATTTGCATTTTGACTAACCCTGTATTTGATTTAACGAATATTATGGAAACGAATATGTTTTATAATTTTTAACAATTATTTAAAAACTATGGTTGCAATAGATCAATGTTCCTATACTCCTTTTTAATTGCACAGGGAGTTAAACTTGATACGATTTTCAGGTAATATTGGTTATAACTTTTTAGATACCCGGTATAACATAATAAAACTTTACATTGTTGTGATGTGAAAGTAAAGCCGATTTTAAATATAAAATAAAATACAGGGTGTTCCATTTAAAAAAACATAAGTTTGGTCTGGTTGCCTGTAAGATTGTAACTAATTTTCAACAAACAGATCTACTGAGCTTCCTCACACTAATCAATCACCCTGTATATATATAAATATATATACAGGATCCAACTTGTAAATACAATACATTTTGGAAACAGCTGTCGCCGTATTCCCGTTCTCCTCCGCCAATCCTCCTGGTCCAAGTCATGTTCCTCCTCCAAACCTTTCGATTCCATCGCTATTTCTCGTTGAAAATAACAGTTTGTTGCGAAATCAGTTCGGCTTTTTATTTAATAAATGTACCAGAGATGCTATGTTTTCTGTACTACTTGACGTCTATTAAGGACTCAACACTGTTTTTTTATGACTATGTCAAAGATTTTGATTGTGTAAAAATCACGAAATTTTAATAAAAAAACTAAATTTCTACGGAATGCGAGGTATTTCTTTAAACTGCTTTCCATCTTACTTAAGGAATAGGAAACAACTAGTTAGAGCAAATGATACTGACTCCAGTCACAAAAGCATTGCATTTGGAGTTCCACAAGGTTCAGTATTGGGTCCTCTACTTTTCGTTATCTTTATAAATGACATCACTAAATTAAAAATCGATAGAAAAATATTTCTTTTTGCTGATGATACCATTATCACCTGGAGGAACTCTAATATTGGAACTCTTCATGCAATTATAACTTCTGAAGACAGTGGAATTATCCTGTAAAGGAGCTCTTTAACCCTTGCTTCTTAATAACAGTCAGATCAGTACCATTGATTCTATACAATTTCTTGGTATTTTTATAGACATCAACTTTAAATGGTTCCTTTATATCGAAGAAAATATTCTATTCTATCATATTTTAATAGAAAATAAAATAGAAAGCTTAGATAAATAAAGATGTATGTACTGTATGAGAACTTAGGTAATCACCAAATCGAATTAATAAACTCATCAAGTAAGTCTACCGAGAAATAATATTGCAACAGTGACACATATGACCATAAAGCAATTTGCGAAATAGACATTTTGCGAAATCAAATTTAAAATTAACTAAATTCCTTGTGTGACGAAATCCTAAGAATTTACGTAAATGTCGTTACAAA